AATGATTTTCCCTCCGTCATAAGGTCATATGCTGGGATGTTCATTGATGATCACACAACGTTCAGCACCATTTACGACTCCTCAGATACTGAAGCAATCAATTTCCAAATGCAGAAAGACCTGTTCAACATCCAGGATTGTTCTGAAAGTAACAAGTGAAGTGTGTCACATAAGTTCCAGAATATGATTGTCTTCAACAAGAGGAAGTCTAACCATCATTGAATCCACCACAGTCAACATCCTGGGGGTTACCATTGACCAGAAACTGAACTGAACTAGCAATATAAATAGTGTGGTGAGAAAAACAAGTCAGTGGCTAGGAATCTTGCAGCGAGTAAAAAACCCTTTGAGTCTCCAGAGCTGTTCATCATCTACAAAGGATAAATCAGGTGCATGATGGAATGCTCCCCACTTGACTGGATGAGCTCTGATAACATTCAAGAAGCTTTACGCTAATCAGAACAAAGTAGTTTTGATTGGCACCACATCCACAAATATTCGCACCTATTGGCACCAACACACAGTAGGAACAATGCGTATCATCTACAAGATGCACTGCAGAAATCTGCCAATGCTCCTTAAACAGCATATTCCAAATACGCAGCCACAATCATGTACAGGGACAAGAGCAGGAGATACATGAGAAACACTCACCTGTAAGTTCCTCTCCAAGTCACTCACGATCCTGACTTGGAAATAAGTCACAACTCATTCAGTGTTGCTGGATCAAAATCCTGGGAACACCCACCCTAACAACAGCATTGTGGGTGTACAAACACCAAATGGACTGCAGTGGTTCAAGAAGGCAGCTCACCACCACCTTCTCGAGGACAATTTGAGATGTGTGTTAAATGCTTGCCCAACCAATAAAGCCTACATGCCCTAAATGAATTTTAAAAAGTAGTTGTGCGTGCAGGCTCTCCTGCAAGTGCTACTTTCCAATAAAATGAATTGAACAGTTGACTTTCTACATTCGAACAAAGCTTCTCAGTTTGAATGTGCAAAGCCATTGATTCAAATGCCTGTACATAAGTTGTTCTGTGTGGGAGAGACAGATGTAAGTTCTCCACAAAACGTTGTACAACATTGATGATATACACGCACTCGCACACTCATTCCATCAGGCTTGCCAATGTCCTAAAACTGCTGTTTATAATCCACCCTTCTGCAGCAGAAAGTCTATACATGTTCACCCTCTGCGGAAGTGGTACGTGTTCTCCATACCTTGGTTGCAGCCTGTTCATTCACAATGTATCACATACAGATAACCTGTATCTGAGTTATTGTCTAATTATACACTGTATTAGCATATGAATTGGTGCCTGCAAGTGTCAGATTGTGTAAATATCGGTATTTTCTTGCTTCTATGCCTTGTTCCATTACTTCTTCCATTACTGCCTAGCCAATTACATTTCTTTGAGATCAGGAGAACAGTACAAGTGTAGATTGTGGAAAAGAGAGAGGTGGTGAAAGAGGTGCTTAAAGCATTTGCAGCTAATTAAATAGGTTATGGAATGAATAGGATGTGAGCAGGAGGATTAATTAAGAAGATAACTTCATTATTTCAACCCTGCCACTGCCTTGTTAGCTGCAGCCAATTTACTAATGTCAGTTTCCTCCGGGGGAAAGGATATGTAGCCTAGCGTATCACTTTCTCCAGCACAAGAAAGTGAAGTGTACTACAAATGTGATACACTGCATTTGGTTGATATGGCTGAACTGAGGAAGGGTCACCGGACCCGAAAAGTTAACTCTGTTTTTTCCTTCATAGATGCTGCCAGATCTGCTGGGCTTTTCCAGCAACTTTGTTTTTGTTCCTGTGTTTACTTCCAGTAACTGGTCTGGCAAAGTGCACATCCCATTAAATGATGCAGGCTGACTTTAAGCATTGCAGACTAAGTTAAACTGCTGCTATCCTTTTAGGATTTGGGAATTCCCTACTAAGAGATACAACAACTCAACAATGTGATTCACACTTGCTGTACACTGCAGTCATATTAATTATCAAGCAGCATGAAATTTCCAATCTGCCTGTAACGGAAGCAATGGGTGCATGTTGATTCAGTATCGTGATGACTGCATCCCTTTTGAGGGTATTGTATTGAGTCCTCATTTTGTACCCTTTTGCCAACTGTTTTACCATAATGTTCTATACCCTCACACCCTGCTTCTTATAAGGACTCCATCCCATTCTCCAGTTTTTCTGTCTCCATCACATCTGTTATGATGATGCCACTTTCTACTGGGGTGCTTACAACATGTCTTCCTTTGTTGTCAGCTGTGGACTCTTTCCTCCCCCTCCTCCATGGTTGACAGGGCCCTCAGCCATGTCCAAACCATTTTCCACACTTCTGCCCTCACCCCTTCTCTCATTCCCAAAACAATGATAGGGTTACACTTGTCCTCACTTCCTCCTTCCAGTTTCTGTGTTAAAAGGATCGTCCTGTGCGATTTCTGCCATCTCCAGGATGTCCCAACCAAATATGTTTCCCTCTCTCCTTTATTGTCAGCATTCTACAGGGACCATGATTTCTGCTTGCCTGCTGCTCCATCACCCCACCCACCTCTTTAGCCATTTCAGTAGATTGTATGGCTTTCATGCTAAGATTTCTGTCCTAGGCCTGCTGCACTGTTTTAATGAAACTCAGTGTAAGCTGGAGTAACAGCATCTCACTTTCCACATAGGTACTTTACAGCCTTCAGAATTCAATATTGGGTTCAATGACTTCAGACTATGAACACTGCCCTCCCATTTTGATTATGCTCCCCACCTGTGTCTTGCTTTCATGTATTTATTCTCAGCAGAGCTCACTTGTTTTCTGCTATTAACACCTATTACTAATAGTATTATCACCTGTTGTTCATCTATATCAATCCTTTACTACTGTTAACATTCCCTTGCCTTTTGCTCTGCTCACCATCACCATCTAGAATAGAAACAGAATCCTTACAGTGCAGAAAGAGCTATGCAGCCCATTGGGTCAGCAGCGACCCTAAGAGCATTCTACCCAAACCCAGCCCCCTATCCTATCTCCGTAACCCCACATTTTTGCATTGGCTAACTCAGCTAGCCTACACATCCCTGGACACTACAAGCAATTCAGCAAGGACTACAAGTGTCCTGAACATCCTTGAACTTTGAGAGAAAACCAAAGCACACAGAGGAAACCTGAGCAAATACGGGGAGAACATGCAAATTTCACACTGTCTCTCAAGGCTGGAATTGAACTGAGTCCCTGGCGCTGTAAGGCAGCTGTGCTAGCCACTGAGCTACTGTGCCATCCAAAATCGAGAATGAGAAACACAGTCAGCAGTGCTTGAACCTCTGCTGGGAGACCCCAATGGATTTTAAATTCATTGCCTGCTCGGCCACGACTACAGAGCAAACTGGACTACACTGTGCAGCTTAGATAACAAGGTGTAGAGCTGGATGAACACAGCAGGCCAAGCAGCATCAGAGGAGCAGGAAGGCTGACGTTTCGGGCCTA